TAGGGCGGGAGTTGAATATGAGGGTGAGGAATTGATAGATGGGTCAAGACAGAAAGAAGAGGGATAGTGTTACTGTTTCGGCAGAACATTAGTCGAGGGGTTGACTTCACTTGTCTCCTTGTCGAGTTTGTTGCTTGGTTCGGAGAATGACAAGACTCACCGATGATGCCTACTACAATGCCAGCGAAACGTCTGATATTGTATCAAGTCAACAATCTGATGCTAGGAATTATGGTAACCACTATGGCAGAGGACTTCGGACAAGGTGTGTTCTATTAAGTCGCCCTGATATTAAAACTAAGTTCCGAAAACGAGGTAAACCCACTTATAGATCGAAAGGAGACTGCGACTATACAGAGGTCCACACCATCTTGGTCTTCATAGCTTTGCTTCATTAAAAATTTATGTATTCTTATTTAAATTCTTTTAGGAAAAGCGTCTGACTTTCCCACAGGCCATGTTCATCTTCCCATGGGGCAACTCTTTTCCTGTCGTTGGGTCAATAAAGACGCAGAGACAATGCGCCCCTACGACCTAGAAGTTATGTTGCATGTACCCTGTCCAGGTCAAGATTGGCATGATATCCTAAGCCAGGTGGCTGGGGAGCTTGGCGAGCCCCCTGATTCTGGCATTCGTGTTCTCCAGCAGCCCAGCGATACAAATGGCAAACAGGGCTTGTTTGAGATGGGTCCTATTTACATTGAGGTCAAATCTAGCGCACCTCATTCCAATTCAGGCTCTGAAGATGGTGCTGTTGACTTTGGAAGCAAACTTGATCTTTGTGAGATTTCTTTGCATGAGGCAGTTTTTGCTTCGAATGCTGGATGGCGCTATCATTTGCTGCGTGTACGATGGCCATCGAAATCCAGACCTGATGCTCAATTAAACAGACCTCGCGTGATGCATATCCCATATCTGTCGCAGGAATTGAAAATGGCGCCTTTGCACGATACTACAAGCGCCATAAAGCTTTGTCTGGCTATTTCAGGACAATAGGAAACTGGAGACTTTACTTATTGGCTTATCAGCTGTATTGGTTTCTTGTTTATTATCTTTTTTGAGCATTTATCCACGATAAAATTTTTCCATTAATACGATGTTACTGAAAAATGATCTAATCTTGTTGAACGAAAATGATTATACGTATTCAGCCTAGGATCAGTTTGGACTTAAGAAATATTGGGAGGTGCCAAGGGAATGTCATAATTTGTATATATAAATAATAATAATAATCATATGATCCTTATTTGCTGGCAGGCTTTGCCTTTCCTAATTTCTTTCGTCGAAACCTTAATGACGAATCGTTGATATTTCCGCAAAATTGATAGATATTTTTTGACTGGAATTTTTCGTCCTCGATCTTTTTAATATTTCGTTTGAGGTTTGCCGTAAAATATTGTCGTGTTTTCCATTTTTTCATCAACTTATTTCATTGCCAAAAAAATATTTATTTTTATGGTGTCTTCTGCATTGTAGGCTCTATTTGTCTATGTTATCTATAAACAATTCATAATCGAAATCTAGCTAGCTTGCTAGAATTTATTTGATCAGAACCACTCAAACATTACATTGGTATAACTGGCTGTAACTTGCTTCAACAATTTCCTAGCATCTTATTGCTAGTTTGATGGAACGGCATTGCGATTGCGGAATGGTCAGGTGTAGTACCATCTTTGTCAGTGGCTTGGTAAATTATCTTAGGTGTAATAAAGAGGTATACAGATAGGCACTTCTGTGTTCAGCCAACCGTTGTTGAATGAGGCAATAAGTCTCTCCAACATAAAAGTGACCATATACACGCATTATTTATAGCAGACTAATCTGCACAGTGGCTAGCTTTTAATCTAAAGTTGGGCATGTTTCACATTCCTCTAGATTGGCATATAATTCGAACTAATCAAATTTCTTCATTATCAAAAAGCATATGTATAACATATATCTTTAATATGGCTGTAAGAATGTTACTCTACTCTGATGCTTTCCATAATATTGAGGATGAAAACCCAGCACTTTTTTTATCGGTATCGAAGGGGATTGCCTCAAGTACAGTATCAACAAGATGTTCAAGTAAATTCAATCAACAGCTTGCCAGGAGAAATCTGCTTTCTTCTTTTGGGATCTAATTTAGAATCTCTTAACTACATTCCTGAAATGGGAGTGGGATAACGATACTAACATAAGAA